GTCCGCCAGCAGAATCATCAGCGTCTCGAGGGACTAGGAAAGTATGGATATCACTCTAGCGTATATCAGCGTTGCCAGCAATCGCCAGCATCTACCAGGGACCAGGAATACGGTATTGTGGTTGCACGTGCTACAATTTCGCGCCTAATCCAGCTATTTGCTCCTACTTCCCCATACTCTACCAGCAGTCTGCTACCCTCCTACTTCCCCATACTCTCTACTCCTGGTCGCTGGTGGACGCTGGTAGACGCTAGATCGATATCCATACTTTCCTATTCCCTCGAGACGCTGATGGTCGCTGGTAGACGCTGCCGCAAAGTATGAACGCAGCCTTGCTAGTTCCTGCTAATTTACATTTCTCAACTTGATGAGGCCTGTAGACTCTTGTTTAGCGTAAACAAAGATTGCGCTATTGTACAGCTTCACAAGGTTTTACAGGCCTCCACAAGAGCTAACGGCCGTTACGATGGGAATCAACGAAATGCCCCAAAATGCCAAACTGCAACGGAATGTGGATAGTGACTATGAAGTTGATCCCTACCTCTCCAGCAAAGTATAGCTTTCCGTCGATTGGAGCCGCCAAGTCGTCATAGTGAGTTCCACTTCCACCAATACGAACATAGCTGTAGGACATACCAATATGTGGATCTCTGCCCCAATGAGTTACCACAGCTCCGTCAGGTTCTGGTATATCCTGAACAAAGGATATTTACACCATGAGATACTGCCTCAAGTGCACCAATAATACCAGTCAAAATACCTCGTTCGGGAATAACTTGCTTTCAAAGTGTCGACAAATATTTGTGCAACCTCTTCATCACTGTACTTGTTCACGATATCGACAGAATCACCGCAAACGTACGACATTAGCACGTAAAACGGCGCCACTCCGTTTGCATCCTGGAAATGAACTCTCAAGAGATAAGCGAACTAATCTATCCCGAAAAGGTACAAACCCTGCGTGAGAAGTCGTAGAACATATTGAAGAGGCCACGATCGCTACTCTTTCGTGGGGCATGACTGAAATAGTCAAGTGTGCCGTCCTTTTTGAGGAGCGAATTCCAGAAACAGCGTGGAAATCTTACAGCTACCTGAAACAGTAATGGCTACGGTTCAATACGAAGACAACTACTGGAAGAACCAAATCACTTTTTCTATGAGCCCTGCTCCGATGTACTTCATGGCTCTCGTTTTCTTGTCCGGAAGTTTCGGATTGAATCTGACTCTGTGCTTCTGAAGTACTGCTAAAGGCAGCGCCAACAACACCTGCAATAGTGACAGTTATTACCGAAATTGGGAACAAAAATTGGAAGAGTACTGAAAGAGGGAGCATCAGAAACATAGGATAATAGTCAAGAAAGTCAAAGAAATGTCTCTACATGGGTGAAATTCAACAAATTTACAGACGCTGGAAACTTCAACCAATACCAGGCCAAAACAAATATCTTTGAAAGGTTCTGAGGAACAGTCAAGAGTTTTGGTGAAAAAAGTAAATAGTAGCTTTCTAAAGGTCATGCGAATTGTTCACTCATTCTATCAAACAGAGGAAGTCTGGAAGGAATTGCAAAAAAGAGAATCCAGGCTGCTCATCAGTGAAGGGTATAGGAGAGGAGAGGCTGAAGAGATGCTCAATTCACAACTACAGGGGGGTCCAAAAAAAGTCACTTTGCTTCACTGACTTTCGAGGCGCTATAAGTTACACTTTATAAATTCTTGATCGACATTTTCTATTCACCATATTAAATAGTATATTAAATACTATTACGACACTCCGCCACAGCCTTCTGGAGGAACGCCATCGAGAGATTCTGGCACGCAACCACGATGTGGTCCCTGAGATCAGCGAGATAGTCGATTTCTCCGCCACCGTAGACCAACCCTATTGAACTCCGCCCGAACCGGGGAATGAGCGATGGCAGGTCAGGTGACCTACTTGGATATTCCATCTTCTTTAGGTACTCAGCCCCCTTCCATTCCAGGTAGGCGAGAGTTTCTCCAACGCCCTTCGATTCCACGTGGTGGCACCCAATGCTGTAGCAGTACAAAGTTTCCAAGAAGGTACGGCGACGACATGAGGAAAGGAAGATATTCTTCTTGAGTTGGTGTCGATGTGACCGCCAGCGCTCACCTTCAGTCCGGGCAACCGTCACGAGAAAATATTGCGTCTTTCATTCGAGGCTGCTCCGGGCCATACAATTCAACCGCGCCTTGGCGACTGCCGTTGAAGATTATGCTAGACCGTAGCGCACCATGTGTCGGAGCGTTTCGATGTTGTAGGTTCTATCAGAATTGAGAGTACTGGTCTCCAGGTAGCTACCATGGGTGACTCCACACTAGAAGTTTCGCAGCTGTTTGGAGGTGACATGAATTCCAAAGGTCTTCTCCAGTCAGGCTGCGACTGGAGATGACCTCATATTTTGGTGTACATGAAGGTGATGGGCGAGGGCCAGCTCCTGCTTATCGAGGAACATCTTGGGTATCTTCCGCCCTGGTACTCGTATCCACGTCTTCTCTCTGGGCTGCGAAAACTTTGCTGATATGTGACTCGGTCGAAGTGACTTTTTTGCCCCCCCCCCCTGTATATGTTCTTTCTTTTACCACATTCCTGCTCTTCTCTACAGCATACTAGAGTTACAAAAAAAATAAAGCTAGGTGGGAAATATTAGTGGTAACTAGCACGAGTTACGGAGTAATTCAGCAGAAAAGCTCCCTATGTCGAATTCTAAACAGTTACGGTGCATCAAAGGGCACTTTTCTTAGGCGCGCCCTCCTTCGAATTCATATAGACTCTCGACCACCGGTTTTCAAATTCTTGGCAGTCTCAGATTCGCGCTTACCCTGGGAATGCCAAAATGTGTTGAAGGGACCTCATAGGAATATAGGCTTACACTAGTGAAGAGAACTCCCACTCACGACTTGCCCCCTAGACGCTACAATGCTGTATTACGATGTTTTAGTAATGTTTAGGAAGCACGTCGTTCGTTATGTGATGGGCGCACAGTAGACTGTGAGAGGTTGGCGCATCCTCCTCCCCCTCCTCCCAGCTGTTTTCCACCAGTCAATGAAGCGGGCAAGCGATAACAAGTTGTGAAACTCGACCGATACTAGCTGATATGATACATCCTTGTTGCTCGCCGAAACAAACGCGAAAAACGGTTTGGCACCGCGCCAAGCA